TAACAACTTCTTCTTCTTTTTCCTCTTCCCCTTCCCCTTCCCCTTCCCCTTCCCCTTCTCCTTCTTTTTCTTATTCTTCTTGAAAATAAAGACATCAGTAATAATGGACCAACACTTCATTTTAATTTGATTACCTTTGTAAAATCCTATTTTCAAATTAGTTCACACTCTGAGGTGTAAGAATGAAGACTTCAGCATATGTTCTTGGAAAACACAGCCTATGACAAAACCTCAAACTGCCATTTTTGGCTTACACAGCTTTATGTTGGCCTCCCTACACACGAGTTCTGCATCCATATATTTAACTAACCATGGAGAAAAGACATTTAAAAAATAAACTTAGCATTCATACTGAGCATGTGTAGTCTATTTTATCTTACCTTTATTTCCTAAACAATATAACAATTATTTACATGCCATTACATTGTATGGAATATTATAAATAATGCAGAGATTATTTGATATATATATATGGCTTCTATGCCAATACTATGGCATTTTATATAAAGGAATTGCATTAGCATCAATTGATTTTGCTACCCTGTAGATACTGAAGGCCGACTATATATAGTTCCTGCCTTCAACTCTGACATTGTCCAATCAATTGTTCCTCTCATTCTGTTCAACATTAGCATTCTGTTAATGCAGCTTGCTTTTAGCATTGAAATACAGATATCACTTTCACATAGAGAACAACTCAGATCATCCAATTAAGTTACTCCTGTGAGGAGTTAGTCTATCTATCTCATTACTGCTTCATTTTTCTAATTAACATTTGCCAAAATCTGCAACCACCCTGTGTATCTATTGTCATGCCCATTATGGCAGATGCTACTAGTTATCTACCCAGCTGTCATTTATTCTGTCCTGAGATTAGGAATCTGACTATACACCCAACTGTAAGCCAGGTACTCGTAGAAAGGATCAGACTAGTGATGATAACTGTGTTTACCTTTGCAGAAATTGTTGCTAGACTGGTTCAAGTCCAGGTCAATGTGATGTAAAAGAAAGAATGATGTTTTTGGATACTTCTCCTTCTTAAAGCACACGAAGAACAAACTCTTTTGGTTTCCTCTTGGCACCTACATTTCAATGTGATTTCTAGAGTTCTACCAGCCATCTTGATCCATGAATTGACCAGCCAAAGGAAAACAGGAGGCGCCAATATTATGATGGGAAAGCAAAGAGCTTGAGTTTTTTAGTATCCCTCAAACTTCAATAAAACTTCATGCTCTCTGATCAAGCATTGTGCCTACTAGTTTTATGTTAGCTTGACACAATCTGGGAAGAGGGAAAGAACCTCAACTGAGAAAATGATTCCATAAGGTTGGACTGAAGAACTGTAGGCAAGCCTATAAAGACATTTTCTTAACTAGTAATCAATGGGGGAAGACCCAGCTCATTGTGAGGAGTGCCATCCCTGGGCTGGTGGTCCTGGGTTCTATAAGAAAGCAGGCTGAGCAAGCTATGGTGAGCAAGCCAGTGAGCAGCACTCGTCCATGGCCTCTGCTTCAGCTCCTGCCTGCAGGTTCCTTGATGTAGAAGCCAAATAAGTCCCTTCTTCCCAATGTTGCTTTTGGTCATGGTATTTCACCACAGCAATAGTAATCCGTCCCAAGATAATTATCATAAATACCCTTATGTTTTAATCCATGAATACTTGGCATACTTGCCATTTATCTTTAATATTTCTTTCTGGACATACCATTCCACCACAACCAAGAACTGGATCCACATCTTGCCTTTATTTCTCACCTTCACTAATAGTACGACTGCTCAGGGGATACCTGATGTATGGGAGCCACATCGCATAGAGAGTGGCTAAGCCTCAGCTTTTGAAAACAGGAAAGCTGGAGATTACACTTGCCATCTGCTTGCTGTGCCACCCACAGGCAAATCACCCAACCTCTCAGAGCCCTTGTTTTCTTCATTGGTAAATAGAAACAGGAACAGTATATAGAGAGTTGGGCATCTTTCTGAAAGAAATAAGACATATGGAATATTTGGTACACAGTGTAGCACAGAGGAAGCATCCATTAGGGAATTGCTATTATTATTAACAGGTATTTCCTAGATGAATGAAATATATATCTGGGAGAGCAAAAAGATTAGTACTTTCATAAATAAATATAAAAACTGTGCCTAATACACTGTGTTGGTGGATTGAGATCACACTTACACATACATATGTGCACACACATGGGTGAGGGCACACACACACACACACAAATACAAACAACACCATGTACCTTGCTATATACCCATATAATAATTTTCTTTGTATCTACAGTGTCATAGCAGAAACTATAACAGAGTTGACAATGATTCTGAATCTATTTATTTTTGAAGATGTTGTAGCTGTATGTCTATGTGTATATGAATTCTGTTAGTTTCCTTAAATTTGGAAAAATAGCATTAAGGACAGGACTTCAGGTTACAAACCTCCAAAACTAGCTAGTTAAATCAGAAACTCTACAAACTCTAGCTAGTTAAATCAGAAAGGAATTTATTGGCAAGATTTGGCAGGGCCGGGGTTAGTGTGTAGTTCATGGAGTCATCAGGAAAGCTTTGTAACTTTCAGGTTCATAAATGGTGATGAACACAGATACAGCGGAAAAATATCAAACTGCTAAGATTGTCCTCCCACAAACCTTCTGTCCCCAAGGCCACCCACTGTCACATTAATGGGTTCTGTTTTCCCTAACATTGGCCTGCTGCAGCCCCCAGGCTTTCCATTCCACTGTGACCACAGAAAATAATTTCTGATCGTCTGTCTGTATGCCTTGTTCATTTTTCCTCATCCTGTCTAGTGAACCACACATAATCACACTGAACTCCTCCAGAATGACTTAATCCTTAAGTCTGCAATGAGGAAGTAGGTCCTGTCTCTCAGGAGCCTTGGGCTTACATTCTGCAGGAGAATTTAGATGATGGGTAACTCTTCTCACTGTCCACTAATACACTTAGAGAGAAACAATTGGAAGACAAGAACAGAAGCAAAAAATTCAGATATGGTCCTTTGGGACAGGGGTATTGTTCAGTGGCAGAGTGCTTTCCTAACGTGTCTGAGTCCCTTTGTTTCATCTCCAACACTGGGGTATGGATGCCTTTGAAGATTATCCCCTGAGATATCTCCTTCTTTCCACCCCAAATATATATGAAATGGTAGCAAGAGAATTCCCATTCTTTCACATAGATGGAAATTTAAAGGAAATCCTTCTTTCTCAGCAACATTTATCATGGCCAGTAAAGGAACTGCATGACATACTGACATTTATAAAAAGCTCAGTGATTTGCTGAAAACAGTTGCTGTTGCCAGATACCTATTGGCAGGCTTAGAAACAGGTCCCCTGGAGCCTGATGGGCAGAGACAGAACCTTGCTTTTGAAAGGCATAGCAGATGGTAGTCTTTGCCATCCCTGACGGAGTAAAGCAGGAAGAAGCCATGGGGCTCCATCTGGGAAAGAGCCTGTCTTCTGAGGCCACGCAGTCAATGCCTTTGCCGTCTTTACACTTGTTGTGGTGCTCTTTTAGAAGGGCAGACTGTAGAAGGCTGGAAAATTCCATCCAGGAAGATCCACACCTTTTATGTTGCTTCACAGCAGATAGGGCAACTCTGAGAACCCCCAAGCACAATATGCCAAGGTGGAGCAGTAAGCATCTTCTGCAAAAGATGCTTTGGAAATGTTTCTTAGGAAAACGAAGAGGTGGGTGGCTGTCAAACTCTGATATTTGAAAATCTTGGTGATCTAAGACTTTATTTTCCCTCTGAATATGATCCACCCAACTAAGCCAGAAAATGTATTCATGACTGTTTCCGTGGCTCTTACTCGGGGCAAATCAGATTCCCTTGAAAACTATTCCCATTTCTAAAGATCCATTTATCCTTAGCTCTCAGAAGTAGATTCTGTGATTGGTCTAAGGTAGACAGAGCTTTCCTGGTAGAGCAAACGAAAGCTACTTCTTAAAAGATTGAAGCAAAGCTGAAAAATTTACATGCCTCTAGTAAAACACTAGTAGCTATTTGGAGTAAGGGTTCTGTGGAAAAATACAATTTAGTTATCAATTTATTGATGAGAAATCAATGATCAAATACAGATGGTTTGGGAATCAGCAATTAGCTAGTTGGAGCTCTTAAAAGAACAATTTTCTCAAAGTTTATAAAATATTTACATTTTAATAAAATATCATAGAGGCTTCATTTCTTTAAGTTTTCATCACTATTAATAAAATAAATTGTTCTGTGTCTGAATCTACCTGACATTTAAACAATTATAAATGGTTCTTTGTATTATCCTCCGGTTTCCAAAATTGCTGATCATTTTGTCTTTAAGCATTTAAAGGGCAAGATTGGTGAAATGTTTCCCTTTGTGGCCCCAAAGCTCCTAACAGGGCATTATTCAGCAGCAGGTGCTTAACCCCCACACAGAGTTTACCTTTGTCTCTTTTCAACTAAATGTGATGTGGTGGGTTGGCCTTACCTTTTAGTCACACCCTCACGTGTCTCAAGGAGTCATGGACCAAACATTTTGTCCTTTGTTTCTAAATCTATTACAAAGTTTTGTTCCAAATGATGTCAGTAAAGGCACTTATTAAAGTGCCACAGAGAGCTGAATCGCATTTATGCTGCTAAAAATCATTTAATGGATGAACAACTTGGAAAAAAGAACTCTCACCACCCACGCACATCATGCTAAAACAGGGTAGCATTTTGCACTTGCTTCTCAGCTTAGCCTGAGAAAGACTGCTGATGTCCACCTTTCCCTCCCTTAGCATTTCAACTTCATCCTGACCAGCTGCTTAATCGTTAAACAGAATGCCACCCTGTCTTTGTATTTCCAAAACCATGTGTCTCTACTGCCAACTGCACATCTTTATAGCAGCCACATGCTTGCAAAAGAATTAAACTCAGAACATTCATGTAGCCTCTTATTAGTGTACAAATACAAACACATAATGGGGGAGGGGGAAAGAAAACTTCCGTGTTCTATGCTGTTGTTCTCATTGTAAGATGCTCCATGGAAAAGAGCCGAGCAGTGGGCAGAGACTGTGAGTCCCCGATAACGAGAGCGCCTAACATTTCCGTGGTATTCCCATTTGCTAGTGCGCTGCTGCGGCCACACGCCTGATTGATATATGCCTGCAATGGCACTTTTCCATTTGACACTCTCCCTCTCTCTCCCTCTCTCTCTCCCTCTCTCTCTCCCTCTCTCTCTCCCTCTCTCTCTCTCTCTCCCTCTCTCTCCCTGGGTCGCTTAAACAACAGTCCTAACTTTTGTGTGTTGCAAATATAAAAGGCAAGCCATGTGACAGAGGGACAGAAGAACAAAAGCATTTGGAAGTAACAGGACCTCTTTCTAGCTCTCAGAAAAGTCTGAGAAGAAAGGAGCCCTGCGTTTCCCCCAAGGTAAGCAGGCAAACTAGCGCTGACGGCTTGCCTAGGAAATTACTTCTTTCCAAACTCTGCCTTTTCATCCTTCTTGCAGACAAAGAGACAACCTTTAAATACCACTTAAATTTGCATCACTTTAATTTGCATTTATCTGTAGCATGCTAACTTTGTGGAAGGTTTTGCTTGTTTGTTTGTTTGTTTTAAATGAAAGGTCTTTGAAGTCTGTGACAGAGCAGGAAGCGTCCCAGAGGAGCTCGAAAATATTTTTTGGCTTGATTTCTTTTCAAACTCTGCGTAGTTAGATGTAACTTTGGAATGGTGACACCATAAAGGGGGACAGAGAAGCAGCAGTTGCCGACTTGCGTTTGTGGAGTCCCGTATCTTCCCTACCGCCTTCATCCCACTTACAATGGGGCACTATTAATGCAGGCGAGTCTGCGAGGTTAAACGTGCACTATTTACTTTTGTTACTCCTTATGTATGCGGCTGATCTCCTGCCAGGGCTGTGCCGGGAGTGCTCAGAATGACTTCAAACAATAGGCAACATTTATGCCTAGCTTTCAGTGTCACGCTGCTCCTTTGCTCTCTTCTCCTATCCCGCGTTGGAACTTTGCTTCCATGGATACATTCAGAAGTGTCTGGGAGAGACGAGGATGGGTTTGCTGTATGATTTTGATTGGGCAAAAAGTCTGAGGAAATGCATGCTGTTTGCTTTGGCCTTATTGCAAGGGGTTATTTTTAGTAGTCGGTTTGTCCCTGCAGCACGACCAACTATCCAATGCCCAAGAAGTGACCAGGAAAGGATGCTCCTGACAGCACAGGGACCAGGACCTGGAGGAATGACTCCTACAGACACCTGAGGAATATTCAGAGGGTTCTTTCCAATTCCTGAATGCAAGTTCTCTCATTAAATGAACAATTGAGCTGTAGGAGGCCCGGGCATAACTCTCTTGAGGGACGGGAAGTTTGATTGTGTACAGAATCTTAATGACTCAGAAAGCACAGTAACTGAGGCTCATTGTAATGAACAAGCTCAGATAAGCCTCAGTGAAAGAGCACCCCCCTACACACACACACACACACACACACACACACACACACACACACACTTTCCTGAGGACCAGGTGCAAAAAAAGCCATCTATTTGGCACGATGAAAATCCCTTATATTTTGTAACTGTCATTCCTAGCAGATATGGCTATTGGAGAACATGCTGCTCTCCATTTCTAATATGAGTGTGTTTTAATTACAAGGTACAACATGGCAGGCTATTTCAAGACACTAGCTACCAGGTACATGAGAAAACACAGAGATGCTGCAAATATAGTGGTGGCTGTGGGTGTCAGCCAAATACATCAGGAATTGTAGACTGTCTCAATATGGCCTTTAGACTTCATGCGATGTCTGCCCACGTTCTTTTCACTAATTTTACTCCTGGAAGTAAACTTTAGGGTTTTGTTGGCCAGCTTTCTGTGAAACATGGGGCACAATTTATGGGAATTTCCCCCCTGACTTTCATAAAGGGCTAGTCCAAGGAGCATTGCTGAATAAAATCAAGCATCTCAATGAGAGAATTCACAACTGCTTCACTAATCAAAAAAGGCTGTAAAAAATAATATGTATTGTATTGCAATATTTTATGACAATTTTTTTTAAAAAACTACTACTGTTAGCAAAGCATTTAAGTGACTCAAAACAATTTTCTTAAACTGTTATTCAGACCATTATGTGAAAGTGTTTGAACACAAATGCAATATCGTGCACCATTTCTTTTAAAATACATTTGGTTCAGGTAATGGGAGAAGTGGCTAAGGCCTTCTTATTATGACTGTATACTGAGCAGCTGACACCCACAGATGGAAATATGCCTGTGGAGTTCTCAATCTTAATTTGAGTTCCAATGACACTGTCAAGGGAAAAATAAATCATTTTTCAATACATTTAACAATTTCCAACTCATTTATTTTCCTAGGCCCTTGAAAAATTACATTCTGAGAATTACAATCACCAATGGTGGCCAGAGACTGTTACTGTCTCAAGAACTCACAATTTCAGTACCATTGTTCTTCCTGGTTAATAATTCATTCCATCAGCTTTTTGATAAATATTTATTAAGCATTTGCAGTGTCCCTGGTACTATGCTCATTATGATGGATACAAAGGTGAATGGGACATTTTCCCATAACTTTATTTTTGGTCTGTGTGCTCTTTCTGATTGAATCTGGGAAGAGAAATGAATGGGCTTTGCCAATGGGTAATTGGACAAGAACTTTCTGCTTATTAAGAACCGTGTAAAGAAGCTGCTAATGCTTCTAGATTTACTTAAAATACTTATTAACAGAATTTCTATTTCTAATGAAGGGGCTACCCCCGCACCAGATCCTGAGTGTATCACACTTGCACAGCTAATAAGGTCCGGATTTTTCTTGGGGTGGGGGGGTAGAAACCATCTGGATAAAAGAGTAACACACCCTTCCTCAGTTCTCTTGAGCAGCCTCTGGAAGGGAACTGTACGTTATCTCTATCAGAAGATGGGTGTGAGTCACCTCCCCGGCAGCTGACATCAGGGCTGCTTCATGAATCATTGTATTAGAAATATGCACAGAAGAAGATTTGGTCACTCTCTCCCATCAGTGACTGGTCCCATTCCCTAGACTGAGGGAATCAGTGACCTCTGGGCTTGGCTTAAATTTAACAGGGCTCTGGGATAAGTAGCTGGAAGTTGTTCCTCAAACCTAGGTCTCTGTCTGAGCCACACACAGTGCTGCTTTCCAATAAACCAGTGTAGTGTCTCTCTCCATGTTGAGGTTACTGGGGGTGGGGGTGGGTGCGAAGACATCAAGAGTGTCCTTGATTTGGGTGCTTATTAGCACAAAATGCATGGTGGTGGGATTATTGCCTCTGACTCTCTAGAGTGCCTGACTCATCCAGGCTAAGTCACGTCTTCTTGGCCATTGGCCTTTGTACCTATGTTCATCTTTTTTCGTGACTGTCGGTTAATGACACCTTCCTGCCAGGCATGAACAGGGCATGGAGAGGCAGGTGGAAGGACTAAGGACTGTGAACACTGAACAGGACAGGGAAGCAGGGCCATGGGAGGATGGCTGAACTCTGGGGCCCAAATTGCTGAAGCCTGTCTTGGCTGTGATCAGCTGTCATTTCCTCTTTGTGTATGACACTGTGGAACATATTAAACTTTCTCTGGGATGGTATGTTTGGAATTCCTCTGATGCCCCACCTCACCAACTTACCCGGACAATAAAAGCGAGATTGTAAGCCATTGAACAGCTGGCTGGCTATATATTTCCCATCTTTCTTTCCCATAATCTAATACAGAAAAGAATCCAGTTAGACTGGCAGTGCCATGTCTGAGTACTTGTTTCCTGCAATTGCTTCCTCCACCACCTCCTCCACCACTGCACACCATGAAATCTTCCTGGGTGGCAAGTGGCGTCTTTTGTTCAACACTGCTCTTAGCCCACCCTTTTCCTTATGCTTGATCTCCTTCTATTGTAAGCTGTTGCTAGTTCTGTTTTCCAGACAGCCTGGGTTCTGTTCCATCTGGGGAGAACAGCCCATGAGGTCTCCTCATCTCCATAGTATTCCCAGGATGTCATTCTTGGCACAGGTTCTGCTCCGCCGATAGGATATGGGGGCTTTTTTGTAGCCCTGAGCCTGAACCCACTCACAGAGAGGAGCAGCCACGTGGCTCGACAAGAGCAGGGCTGGAGTGACCCGGGTTGGCAGAGACAAGCATACCAGCACAGTGACCCGGACATCTCTGGCAAAGGCCTGGGGGTGGGAGTGCTATGGGAATGCCTGGATGCACTTCGGCCCACATTAAGAGAAATGTGGTTATTCTGTTTTAGACGGACAGACAAGTGACTTGGAACAAAGATCCCCAGATCTTTTGGGCCCTGCCCTGCTCCCAGGTTCCTCAAGTTTCTCTCCTGTCTCTCCTCCCCAGACAGAAAGTAGAAACTGGCCAGCAGAGGCTTGATGTCTTGTCAAACCCATTGCTAAAAGGAAGAACTGAGGAATTCCTTCTGAGTTGAGTGCACTGAAAATGTTTGGGGCTTGAGGTGAGAAAGTAGCTGTTCTTTCTCTTTCTTTCTTTCTTTCTTTCTTTCCTTCCTTCCTTCCTTCCTTCCTTCCTTCCTTCCTTCCTTCCTTTCCCCATTTCTTCCTCCCTCCCTCTTTTCCCCTTCCTTTCCTCCTTCTCTTCCACCTCCTCCTCTTTCTTCTTCTTTTATTCATTTTCTTTCTCTTTACCTCAGAAGAGCAGTTTAGTTCCCGAGTTTCAAGCATAAGATGCTGGACTTTGCAATTAGAGATTCCCATTTAAGACCTTTCTTGTACAACATCCCAAAAGATGCTGCCAATGTACATGGAAGCAAGAGATATTAAAGAGAAATCCACAAGGCAATGTACTATTCTTTTTCACTTCCTGGGAGCTTTGGCGATCTTTCCCAAATTAACAATAATTAATGTAAAAGATGCAAAAGGCAAAAAGTAACAGCTGAATTAAATTGAGCCTTTTCCAGTTAGTTTGAAAGGAGGGGGGAGGGAGAAGGGGAAGGAAAGGGAGAGAGAGAGAGAGAGAGAGAGAGAGAGAGAGAGAGAGAGAGAGAGAACTAGAGAACCATCTACGCTTCACTGCCAGTTCTTGGGTTTAATATGAATTATTCCAAACAAGTCCCTAGGCTAGAGGATCTATTTAAAGAAGCCTGGCAGCATGAAGAGAGAGGGTAAAAATACAACCACTCTTTTGTCCATCAAAGGTTTTCTTTGGGAGGACATTAAGAGCATTTCTGTTTTCCTGTCTGCCCCTGCCAGTGGCAGCATTCCAGCTGGTGGTACCCACTCCTCACCCATCAGGTCAACAACCATGAACTCCTCTGATTCCAGGAGAAAAGCAAAGGCTGAGGAATTCTTTAGAAACTCCCATGTGTGGGCAGCATGCAAGGGAGGCGGGACCTGGAATGAGTGTATGCTGGCTAGGCTATACAGGTTGT